TCCTTTCTTTTCCTAGCTTCTGGCACATCACAATATTCCTCAGCTTGCAGACACATCACTCCAATCTCTGCCTGTTTTCACATCATCTTCTCTGTGTCCTGGTGTATCCTTGTCTGTTTCTTGTAAGGATATTCTCAATGGATTTAGGGTCCAATCTAATCTAGTATAATCCCATCTCAATCCTTAATCATACCTATAAAGATCTTATTTCCACTGAAGTCACACCCTGAGGTCCCAGGTGGACATAAACTTCAGGGAGACACTGTTTAACTCACAACACTGGGATATGTTGACTTCCATTATAGGATAATGAGTTTTATCTGGCAAGCAATTGAATTATCAATGGATCCCTCTGGATCTGTCAGACTTTTATTATTCTTTTGTAGTACTCTAATATGGTTTTGAACTTAATACTAGAGCATGGTCCTTCCATTAGGGCAGCAATTTGATACACTACATATTGTAGGCTTTGTGGAGAACGAAGCAAAAGGAAGACTATTACATAGGTCCTTAACAAGAAAAGAATAACTTAAGACAAAATTGTTATTCATAAAATTCTAAGTTTAGATCTAATAATAAGTACAAGTTTATGTAATATGGGTCTACTAATGAGAATGGAATTCTACAATTAGTTGAATTGGGATTCAAAGTTACTTCGCCTATTATCAAAATCAGTTGCAAATGTTCACCTGTTAATGCTGCTCTGTAGTGAGATTCTACATACTTCATCTTTAAAAATATCTTTCCACACAGATACATACTGCCAAATACTGAGTGTTGGTATATGACTAATTGAACATATATTGTACTAGGGAAGCACTGACAGAATTGTTTGACTCTTCAGATATTTGCCTCTAAACATGTCATTACATTGCAGAAAAATCACTTCCAATTAAATATTAGATAGCAGCTTCTCAAACTGCAAGATTTAATAAATTTTGAAGTAAGGAAATTTCCTTTATACTTGCATCAAAGTCTAAATAAAATGCTGTTAGAACAGTAGTTTGAGCTTGGAAAATGTGGGAACAAAGATTCTTCTTGTTTTAATTTTCGACCAAACAGGAGTGTATAGAGCTGCCTGGTATTACTTGTGATTCAAACAGTTGTTGAAATGACTTTACCATGGTATAAGTTTCACATATAAGTACTGTTTTGCCTTATAACTCTAAGTTGAATCGAGAAAGATTACCAAATTTCTAACAAAAACTGACTTTCAAAGGCATTCGGAGTTCATTAACAGTGCTGAGGGCAGTTTTTCCTCATTCAGAAAAATTTCAATCTTGGCTATAAACTCAAAAATATCACAATACTATTACCACTACTAAGCCATTGATCAACTGTGTG